CTCTGTAACACTGTGGCTCTCTCTGAGGTTCTTCATAGCCCTCCACAGGCAGGGTATGAAAAGGGCAGTATAAGGAGAGATCTACTTTGGCTCCTCCCTGTCCCCATGGAGTAAGGCTTTGTCCAGGCCACCCTGGAGCTACAAACACAGAAGCTCATCTCTTCTTGGCTCATCCAGGAAGCAGAGTTGTTGGCTTGCTCTCCACCCTGTATCTCTGCCTGGTGGCTCTAATTCTTCAGTCCAAGTGACCCTGAAGTCCATCCTCATGGCTATAGGAAGCCGTCTCTGGGCTGAGGTGGGGTTTACTTCCATCTGCACACAGCCCCATGCTAAGGAAAGGAGGGGATGTTCCCTGGGGCTCCTGCTGGAAAGGGAGGCCTGACTGGGATCTTGGATTCACTTGCTTGTTGTTTCACTATAGCTGCTGAGGTGGGCAGAGCAGCAAAAAGGTCCAGCCCTGGGAGTGGGAAGGAACAACTCCATTACAGGTAGAGGGGAGAGTATGGTACTCATTTTCTGGTAAACAGATCGAGGAGTCCCACGCTGTGCCATGTGCATGAATAAAAGGTGAATGAATGAACAAGGGCTCTTGAGCCAGCCAGACTCGGCATAGGAAGTATGCTCTTCAGCACCAATGTTATCAGGAAAGAATAAGCAAGAAACCAAAATGAAACAAGTGTGTGCAAGTGCAAAATGTTGTGTTTCAAGTCTCTAAGGACTGGTTTGGGGACATTCAGTGGCAACAGACAGACAGGAACCTCCATAGTTCCCTTCTGTTTTTTCATGGATTCACTACCTGATTCGTTTCATCCTCTGTTCTTTCCATGATGGGCGGTGTTATGTCATGGAAGGAAACAGAAGGAAGATAGGGATCTAAACCTTGTTCTGGAATGTGCAGTGCAAACTAGACCTGTCCACACAGGAGTGTTTGTCAACCTGAGATGGTTATATACTGCTGCTCAATGACAGAGACTCAGAGAGGGCTTTCTGCCCACGTGGGTTTCTACTCCTGACAGACCCAGCCTGTGTAGGTTTCTCTTTCCTGTTACATTGAATGTGCTTCTGTTGCCATCACCTGCCATCTATCTACTATGCCACCTTTCTGTGGCCATCAGAGGGGTCGAGTCCTTCCCTGCTCTACCCTTATTGCCCTACCCTTTCCTTTCACTCTACCCCAAACCAGTAGGTACTGAGAGTGAAGCTGCCTCATTCATCCCCCAGCCCCCTAGCAGAGTGAGTGCCTGGGCCAGAGAGGTCAGTTGCTAAGGATGGAAGCCCAGCATCAGCTGGCAAGGGACAGGGGAGGCAAGAGGTTGGGTGTGCCGCTTGGCCAACACTGCCCAGGTCCCTCTGAAACAGAACCTGTGGACATTCCAGATGTTCCAGATGAGGCTTTGGATGAACCTAGGACTCAAACCTGTCTCCTGGGACATTGTCTCACTTCAATAAACAGAAGACAGCTCTTGTCCCCAAAAGTGATGAGGGTATATCAACATCCAGTCTCCATGCAGTTTTAGATGCACTCACAGTACCAGGTAGCCCACTTTAGGTGACCTCATGGGCCCTCCAGGAGGTTTTTTTCTTACATCCTCATTGGCTCATTTTAGAAGACCCCCCTGACACACACATATACACACAGATAAATACCCTGTGTCTTCGATCCTTGAACTTGGGAACGGGAGTTTGAAATCCCTCTCTGAACTTCTATGTGCTTCTCTGTCTGCAGAGGGCCAGGTGTGGTTATCTTAGGTAGCACCTTCTTGGCCCCTTTTTTCCTGTGGGGGAGAGATGAGCTGTTTGTCACCCGGCTTAATCAACTGTTGCTGCCTTGCAGTGATTGCCTTTTGGTGATAGGGCACCATTCATCTTCCCTGCAGCCCCATCCCTGTCCCCAGCATGGGGCACCTCTGCATACTCAGAGTTCTGAAGAGCATTCTCTTTTCCATGAGAATTATCTCCCACCTTTCCTAAACAGTTGAACATGAGCATTTACAGGGTAAGGGACAAACAAGGAGATTAGGGAACTATGATTCTCCAGATGGAGGCTTCAACAGAGTCCATGTATACTCTAGGAGGCAGAAAGCCTTCTCAAACTGGCTGCCTTACCTGCTCTGCCAGGTTTGTCAGGGCCCTGGGGACCCAGAACCAAAGCAGACCCACTCTTGTTCAAGATATACTACCAGCCTAAAACAACCCTCAGCTATCTGAGGGGCTGACCTTAAGTTGTCTCTGTGAGAGTCAGAGGAGGGCAGCATGCCAGAAGGGCTTTGGAGAGAAGGTGACATCACAGCTGGACCTGGGAAGACACAAAAATTGATTAGGCAAAGGAGGTAAAAGGATGTAAGCAGAAGCTCCCAGGCATAGAATTCCTGGCTTGTGTCAGTCCAGAGGGGCTGAGGGCTTGGTAAGGGAGTTGAGAAAGGAGGTTTTAAAAAGCCAGTGGGCATAATTTCAACCCTTAGAGCATGATTCTGGGGTTCTTGCACCATAGGAAAAAGACCTTTCCTGCTAATTAAGATGAAGTGGGCTACTTTGAAAGGTGGTTAGCCTTTCAGATGTGCATCTGACGGGCATCAGACTTATAGTATGGAGGGTAGAAAGGCAGTAGGGCTCAAGCACCCTCAGTCTTTCTAGGCCTAAGTGCCTGGGAGCCTTTGAGGCCCTCACAACTCCTGTCTTTTTTCCTCTCTCAGCCTGCCTGTGCCCTGGCACCAGAGCTACTAGTGTGGAGACTCAGGGTGATGGGAAAGTCAGCCTTCCTCATTACATCCCCACTCCCCAAAACACAATTGAGGAAAACACATGCCGTTCTTTTATTCATCCTCACCTGATATGAGGGCTGGACCTTCTCCCATCCACAGCTGCTCTGCCAGGTTTGTCAGGGCCCTGGGGTCTGAAAGGGTCTGACTTTAGTTCTGGGTAAGAGTAAGCTAAGCTCAGCACAGAAAGTGCTAGAGGGATTTCTCCAGGATCATTCTGAACCCTCTCATTTGTGCAGGGCATATCACTCACTTTCCCCTCCAAGTCATACCCTGTTCTCCAATGCAATTTGTAGCCCTGGGTTTCTTCCCTCTCCCAACCAGTGCAGTTGAGGCTGGTACAGGTGGTCCAAGATTCCCTCTGTAGGCCCAAAGGAATCCTTTCCTTAGAGCCATGGATGTGGTGAGGGGCCAAACCTGAGCTGCTCTTGGAAAGTTACTCCACATCTCCAAGCTCCAGCATCCACAGTATAGCTGTGTGAAACTATGGTAAAGTGCTTCCCAGGGAGCTGGGTCCTTCCCTGGCCCCTCCTGCTAGGCCTGGGAGGTAACAGAGAGAGCACTTTCATGGCCACTGCAGTCTCATTTAGATCTTACACAGCTCTGGGAACAGATGGTTGCCAGGGCCTGGGGTCCTCACCTCCCCAAACCAGCAGCTACAGCTGCTTAAAAAGCATCCAACATACCTCCCTGTGGTAGCTTTTCAGCTGCTACAGAACCACTTCTGAGGAAGACACACCATTGGTGTTTGTCATACTGGATGTAGATGGCCTCAGCCCCCTGGTTTCATCCTAGTTGGGCACTGCTGTGGATAGAATGTGGCCTCCAAATAGCCCCCTAGCCTATCTGGTGGGCCCTTTTTATCACAGTATGAGCCAGGCTGCTCATTTCTCTGCCTAGTGGCGCAGTGTGGAGGTGCAAGTGCTCAGGGATGTGGATTTTAAGCTCTACTGGGATCCAAAGAGCTCAAAGCTGGAGGTGCCCTGTCTTCCCTCCAGGACTGCTGGAACAGAGTAGGCCCAAGCTCTGCATGGGCATACAAACAGGCAGCGAGCACCCACAGGAATAGGGCCCTGAGAGGGGCACCACCTGGGCACGCCACTGTAGTCCACATGGATGATAAGTGAGGTCCCAAGAACCCCATACTGCAGCCTGACATAGATCAGGCCCCATGCCCAGGAGGAGCAAAAGGAGGCAGTATCTTTTGCAGCCTTAGTCCATTCAGGCAGGCATATCTCCATTATTTGGCTACAGGGACCCATGTGGGAGCCTGCCAGCTCCTTCCAGGCCTCTGAGGTCCTCTGCTAGTGACCAGCCTCCTTAACGTTCTTATACTCATCATTCCCTTTCTCTGTCACTCATGCCTTCCCTACACCTTGACTGAACCCCAAGTGGTTGTTAGATGTCATGTTGGTCACCAGGACCCTGCAAGGGACTAGATTCTGGAGCTGACAGTGGGTAGTATATGTCCAGTACTGCAGTGGGTTAGGGAGAGGGGAGGAGGGTCCCTGGCGGAGCAAACTGCTCAGAGTGAGGTGACAGGGGCCTGGGTATCATGGGAGCTGTGAAGATTCTCTGGGTACTGTAGGGAAGGAGGTGTGCAAGATAGGGCTGTGTTGGAGTCATCTGGGGGCAGCAGCCACCAGAGCTTCACCATGGTCCCCCTTTTGCTGCTGCTGTTGTTTTGTTTTGGTTCTGGGAATTGAACCCAGGAGTACTTTACCACTGAAGTACATTCCTAGTCCTTTTTATTTTGAGACAGGGTCTTACAAAGTTGCTGAGGCCCTCACTAAACTATTAAGGCTGGCCTCAAACTTGAAATCCTTCTTCTTCAGCCTCTAGAGGTGCTAGGATTAGAGGCGTGTGCCACCATACCCAGCATCATGTCCCCATTTAACCTAGTAGTTTCACCTCTAGGTATTGGTTGTACATCTAAGTCAGCACCTGTACTGAGAGGGGTGCATGTGACCTGAGTGCCACCATAGAAGATAAACCCAGTAAACCATGCAACATAGTCATACAAAAGAGGTAGCAGAACTGCATGCATGTCATTTGCCACCATTGAGGAGGAGGCAATAAGTGGAAGTGGCCACACTTCTGTCTTCTGGATGGTGAGAAGGGGCCAAGGAGTCCCTAATGGGATGGTGTGACTTTGGCACCGTGGCAGGTTCCAGGCAGGAGTATCTCTGAGGCTTCAGCCATGGCAGTCCTCCTCACAGCCTACCTCTGCCCATCCCACAGGGCATCTGGCGGATCCCTGTGGATGAGATTGACCGGCCGGGCAGCTTCGCCTGGCACATGAACCGCTCCATTGTGCTGTTGCTTAAGGTGCTGGCCCAGCTCCGGGACCATAGCACCCTGCTGAAGGTGTCCTCCATGCTGCAACGGACCCCAGACCAGGGCAAGTGAGTGAGCCACGCACGTACCCATCCTGGCCCGTGACCATGCTACCCTGAGTCAGTCATCTACCCAGGGCTTTTGTACCCTGCTCAACTTGGCCCTGAAGCCTACTTGTTGGGGAGTCCCAGCCAGCCTTTTCTCCTCAAGAATTCTCTGTCCCAGTGTCTAGAACCTAAGGGATATCGCTCCCACCCTCAAGCATTCCAGGGCCAAAACAGGCCCTCTCCACTGACCTTGGTTTCCCTTCCCTTTATTTCTTCTTAGCCTGGGACTCTCAGAGGTGGTGTCAAGTCCTAGGGAAAACAGATATTCATTCATACCATAGCCATAGTACTCCAGGTAAAGGCCAGGAATAATGTGCAGCAGGAGAGCCATGTCTTCAATGGGGACCAGGGACCCCTCAACCAGAAGGGTGGAACAGCCAGAACAGAGGGGCACCTGACATAGCTGGTGCATGTAGGGGTTGTGTGGGAAATAGAGCTCACAGGTGGACTGGCCTGGTCATAAAGCCATAAGCTAGGCCAACCATCCTCCATTAGCTGCCCTCCTCACCTTCTCATGGTTTTATTCACCTATGAGTTCCCAGGTAACATGCCACAAGTTCAAAGGGGCCTCCAGCTGGGGCTTGGAGCACCCTTGAGACAGACTTTAGGGAGAAGAACTAAAGCTCATCCTTCACCCCCACCCTCCCTAAGCCAGTACACAGGACTGGCCCATCATAGCCCTGCCTTCAGGGTTCACAGCCAGTCAAGAAGGTGCAGGGCAACCAGCTGGGGCTAAGTCAGAAACCTGTTGAGTGTGGAGGGTGGGACTCAGGTGAAACTTGGGGGAGCAGACCTCAGTAAGTGGGACACAGAAACAAACATTCTTGGGGCAGGAACTAGACACTGGGCTACTACCTAGCAGCACTGTGTGGCATCTGACATGCCCCCATCCTTTCTAATCACCCTGTGTCACCATAGGAAGTATCTACGAGATGCAGACCGCCAGGTTCTGGCACAGCGGGCCTTCATTCTCACTGTGAAGGTGCTGGAGGATACACTGAGTGAGCTCGCAGAGGTATGTTGCCCATTACCCTTCTCCTCCACCACCAGTGAACTATGTGTGTACACCCTCCCTCTTCACCCTCCAAGCAGGTAGAGTACTGCTCCCATTTTGCAGATGAATGAACCAAGGTCCAGGAGTTTAAGTGACCCACTTAACAGGTGAGGCTGCTGGAAACTGAGCCAGGACTGTCTCTTCAGAACCAGTGCCTAGTAAGGCTAGACTGGGCTTGACGGTATCTGGGTCTGAAAGTGTCCTTGCCACCAGAAACCCTGGCCTCATGTACCAGTGGTTAGAGAGACTTGGCTGTGCAACAAGCACATTTGGTGACCCTAGGCAGGTCCCTTCCTATAAAACACCCTGTGTCTCCCATCACAAAGGGACAAGAAGACTAGGCAGTGCCATCCCAGCTAGAGCCAGGCTTGTTACTCAGGAGTAGCAAATAAATAGTTCCATTGATCTGGCTACCTGGGAGTGTCATGGGGCAGTCTAAGGTTGACAGGAGTGACTTTGGGTGGGAGAGGATGTCAAAAGGTACAAGTTACCAATGTTTTATTTTTGGTTTCCTTGTAGGAGTCAGAACGCCCAGGGCCCAAGGCCTGTAGCCTCACTGGAGCCAGGATGACCACCGATGTCTCACACAAGGCCAGTCCTGAAGATGGCCAGGAGAGCATCCCCCACTCCAAGAAGCCCCTTTTGGCTGAGGGCTCAGGACCAGGTCCCGAGCCAGGGTGTAAAATTGGCCCACTCAACCACCGGTCCATGGCCATGGATGCAGGAGACAGTGCAGACCAGGGCAAGGAACAGAAGGACAAGGAGAGTTCCAGAGGAGGGCCTACTGAGCCTATGGACACGGGTGAGGCTGTTATTCATCGCCCAGACTTGGAGCGGACACCAGCTGTGCTGCCGGGTCGCCCCCCAAGGGACCGGGGCCCTGAGAGCAGGCCCACTGAGCTGTCCCTGGAGGAACTGAGCATCAGTGCCCGCCAGCAGCCCTCTCCATTCACACCAGCCCCACCAGTCTCCACTACCAACTCTTCCCCAACCACTGCCACAGGGGCCAGGGGGGTCAGCCATCCTGAGGAGCCACCCCCACGGCCCAGCCGCAAGAGGAAACTTCTGGAGGATACTGAGTCTGGCAAGACACTCTTGCTGGATGCCTACCGTGTGTGGCAGCAGGGCCAGAAGGGTGTGGCTTATGACTTGGGCCGCATTGAAAGGATCATGTCAGAGACCTACATGCTCATCAAGCAGGTGGGTGGGCCTATCCACACACCCCAACCTGCCCTTGGCCTTCTGTCCTCCAGGAGGCTTATTCCTGGGGGTCCAGATGTACCAGGTCCTGCCTCTGGGGTGGGTATTAGGTATCTTGTTCACCCCATCCAACTATGTGCTTTTTTTTCCTTTAGTATGATTTATTTGGTTTTATTTTGTTTTTGAGTCTTTCTACAATGATAAGGCAATACATTTAGAGTCAGAAAAATAATGAGCTTTAAAATGTCTGAATTCAGTCTTAAAGTAAAATGAAACCACATTGCAAATCCAATACTCAGAGATCAGACACCTGGTCCCATCACTATGAGACTTCTGTGGGTACCATCTAAGGGTGGCTGAAGTACCCTGAATGTGACCAAAGAAAGTGTCATCCTTCTCTTTTTGCCTTTTTTTTTTTCTTTTCTTTTTTTTCCCCATACTTCATTGGTACATTGTGGTTGTACATAATGATGAGATTTGTTGTGTTATATATTTGTGCATGCACACAGTATAACAATATAATTTGGCCAGTATCACTCCCCAATATCCTCCCTTTTCCTTCCTACCTCCCTCTCTCAATTCCTTTCCTCTATTCTACTGATCTACCTTCATTTCTTATGAGATTCCCCCAACATCTCTTTTCCTTTGTCCTCTCTAGCTTCCACATGTGAGAGAAAACATATGACCCTTGATCTTCTGAGTTTGACTTATTTCTCTTAATGTTTTCAAGTTCCATCCATTTTTCTGCAAATAACATGATTTCATTTTTAAGCACATATTTTTTTCAAATTGAAATTATTCCCATAGAAAGAATACCCAGAACTTCAGTGACAAGTTCAAATGGGTTGACCAAATCCCTGATTAACAATTTTTTTCCCCAAATTCTATCAATTTCCAGGACATTCTTTAAGATGGCCTGCCTTCACCTCACCAGCCACCAATGTTAACTTCCATTTGTTTTTGTTGCTAATTACTCAGAAGACAGTAAAAGTACTGCTGGTTTCCTTGCTAGGGAGCCTGCCTGGTCCCTTGCCCTGGCTTGCTCACTCTCCTGCCCTTGCTTGGCAATGTATAGACATCTCCTGCAAGCAAGTTCAGCCTGCTGATTGTCCAGAGTGACCCCCACATCTCCCTAGTCCCATACTAACCTCCTCATTGCTTGGTTTCTTGGTCTCCAGACATACTTGGCACAGCCCAGGACCATTACCATCATCTGCCCACCATCCAGACCTGGGTTTTCACAAGGCCCCTCCCAGTTGAGTCACAGTCCTCTATCCTGCCTCCTCAAGAGGCAGACTTTAGCCCAGAAGCCTACCCTTCTCAGAAGCCATCTAGAAGTAAATGGCCTCAGCCAAATTTGAAGGTTTGGTTGGGATCTGAATCCTTCTGCCAGCCTTAGCCTTTGAGAATGAATATTACTCACCACAGAAATTAACTTTGTGTAGCCAGAATAGTGGCTGGGTCCAGCACTGGCATCAGTACCTAGGACCATTGGGACCTTGACCTGCCCTTCCACCTGGAAGACAAGAGCACCTGCCCACAGTCATCACTGAGGGAGTCTGGGTGTGGTCAGCAGTGAAGAGGGCCCTTCACAGGAGTGAGGTCTCCCCCCCCCCCAAAAAAAAAAAAGGCTGGTCTGTGCTACCTAAAGGTCAAGGCTGGGAGGAATTCAAGCACCACTAAGCCCTCTGACCTTGGGCATCTCCTTGCTTAGGTAGATGAGGAGGCTGCACTGGAGCAAGCTGTGAAGTTCTGTCAAGTCCACCTTGGGGCTGCTGCCCAGAGACAGGTAAGCCCAGCCTCATCATGTAGGGCCTGCCCCACACCAAGGCCCAGGGCTATAAGTCAAGAAGTAGGTAGGCCCTGAGGATGGTTCTTATGGTCATAGTGGGCTGTGGGAAAATAAGCAGGAAGTGAATGAATCTCTAGCTGGTGGAGTATTACCCCAAAGTGGGATGCCCTTGATAGGGCCCAGATCCCTGGCATATGTGAATACATGACCTGATGGGTCCCTCCCCTTGTCTTGGCTCCTTTTCCAGAAACAGAGAGAATGACTTCAAGCCATTTGACCTCACCCAGAGTGGTCCTTCCATTTGTAGAGGACCAAGTAGCGTTAGAAGCAGGCCAATTAGAAGCAAAGTAGCTGGGGGCCTAGGGACCCACCAAATGAGGGTATGTAGTAGAAACAAAAAAGTGGAGACAAGTTCTCAGAGAATGGGTAGGAATACTGGTGTTTATCAGGCAGGGGAATGATTGATGGATGGAGAGGGATAGAGCTGGTGCAGAGGCCAGATGAGGATAGGTGGGTCCAAGAGATGGTAGAAGCTTAACTGGTAAGGTAGAAATGGCAGGGGTGGAAGTGGAGTTAAAGCCCTTCCTGGGAAGTGCCTGGGAGAGCCCCAGCCAGAGTGGAGACTAGGGTTTTATTGAATCTGAAATTCTTTGAAGGAAAAGGCCATGAAGGCATAAAGTCAAGAGTGCCCTCACCCTGCCCCAGCTTAGAGGATCAATCCAGGCAAGAACACTATATGTGAGGAACCCTGGTATTGGTGAGTCTGTAATCATCAGTATGGACCAGAGGGTACAGGCAGGGCCAAGCACCTTGACAGGACCACAAGCACAGGGAGGAGTCTTGGGACAAGAAAGAGTGGTATCCAAGAAAGATAGTGTTCTAGGAGCCAAATAGCAAGAATGGGGACCTACCAGATATGGGGACCCAGGGACTAGAGCCATTTTTGAGGAGCAGGTTCGAACGTTCAAGGTCAGCTTTAGAAATTTAGCAAGGCCCTAAGCAATTTAGGGAGATCCTGTCTCAAAATTTAAAATTAAGAGGGCTGGGATATGGCTCAGTGGTTAAGTGCCCCTGAGTCAATCTTCAGCACCACCAGAAAAAAACCACAGAGGCTCATCATTTGAATAGGTATAGCCTTTGTTTACTCTGGTGGCCCCTAAGCCATCTAGTCCCAACAGCCCCAGCAACTGACTGGTGGCCACCCTGGGGGTCCAGATGGGCTTCCTCCCTGTGGAAAATGGAGCATCTGGCCATAACTCCTGCCAAAGTTCTAGGTCTTAGAAAGCCCTGGTGAGTTCCCTTATACCAAGCAGGCTGTGGACCAAGCAGGGGACTCTCTGGGGGTCATAGGTGAGCCCTGTCTCCTGAGAGCCAGAGTCCTTGGCAAGATATGCCCCCAACCTGCCTGTAGTCCTTACCACTTTATTATTGCCAAAGGGCACAGCACAGTTGGCCATGGCCTCTTAACCCCCACCATAGCCTCCCTTCTCCATGGGGCAGAAATAACTGCTGAGGCCCTTGTGCAGGGCTCAGGCCTAAGCCCTCCTAGAAACCCCTCTTGTCACCTCTACTGACCCAAGTGGGGCAAGTGAACATGCAGACAGTGACCACAAACAAAAGAGGAGGACTGTTTTGTTTTTTCAATATTGGGAATTGAACCCAGGGCCTTGTGCATGCTAGGTAAGCTCTCTACCACTGAACTACACCCTCAACCATTTTTAAACGTTACTTTATCTTGTGATGGGGTCTTGCTAAATTGGGCAGATTGACCTTGAACTTGTGATTCTCCTGCCTCAACCTCCTGAGTAGCTGGGATTACACATCCAGCTTAAAGGATAGACTCACACAGGAAATATTCATATACTTTTCTCTTCATTGGAACCTAGCTGGCAAGATCCAAGGGCAGCTATCATGTTCAACAGTCAGGATTCAATCCCTGGTACTGGGGGGGTGGGGGGGGACAAGGGCAGGGCAGAGTCTCATATATTAGAGGACCAGTAGCTACTTGGGCATGCTCATATCGGGGCCCCTGAGAGATGTGGACAGAGGTTTCCTTATTTCAAGGACCTCAAAAAATTTCTGGGAGTGGCCAGAACTAGGGCACTGGGATCTTTAACTTTTAGATTGCCTACTTCTGGGCAATGTCAGTTCAGGCTCTAGTGTAACCCAGTGTAGAGGAGAGCCAACCTAGTGGTCTTGAGGTCCTCCCCATCAATGTTCCACCTGTCACCCATTTCCTAGACCCCAGTGGAATGGGATGCCCCTGGTATTACCCGAAGCCCTCTCACCACAAGTCTGGCCTACAACTCTTGCCTCAGGCCTGGAGCATCACTGCTGAGGGCTATTCTGCTCTGGTCTTCATCTCCCTCCAGAGGCCATTTCCTGCCTCCCATCTCTCACTCTTCTGGAACCTTTGTGTTTTGCCCCCTTCTCCTAGAAGAAGCCACCTAGAACACTCCCCTTAGGCCCTCTGGTTAGGTTCCCTTGTCTTCTCCTATTGCCTCATGTTCATCTCAGCCAAGTCATCCTCTCCTGGTGTTATGGAAGGCAGGGTATTATCTCAGGGTCTTCTTCAAAGCCACCCAACCTTTACCTCCTTTCCCACAGGATCTGGCAGTACCCTCCACCAACCCCATACTTCAGAGCCATCAGTTAGGATGATCACAGCCATCCTGGGCCCACTTCTGACCAGAACCAAGGAGAAGAAAGCCATGGCCCTCAGAGTCAATGCTTCTGCCCCTCAACATGTCCCAATTGCTGTGGCAGCTCTATGCACGCCTGGAGGGTGCTCGGGACATTGTAAAAAGCTAGATGCAGTTGCCTGTGGCTGAGACCTACTCCTGAGTGAGAATAGGGACATAGCACTTATCCTCCCGCTCACGTCTGCTCGCACTGCAACTTGGGGTGCTCCTAACTCTACCACTCTGGGCACCCTGAGAGCCAGGGCTGTCCTGCCCCATCCTCCCACCAAACTTGCTGCCCTTAACACCAGCCTGGGGCTTATCCCAGGCACCCACTACATGGCAGAATTTCCAGGGCCTGTCCCCCATCATATGGATCTCAGAATGATGGAACAATTCAAGCAAAACTTCATCAGAAGAGGCAGGATTATCAGTAGAAGCCAGCTTCCCAATGAGATGCCCACCCTTTAGCCTTTGACTCTCCCAATTTGCAGGGTGGAGGGTCCTACTGCCCCAGTGTGGGCAGCTCATACAGTACAGTGGGCCTGGTGCTGGGGTAGGGGGTGGGGGTCCAGGTGCTTTGCTGTAAGAGGCTACCACCTTGAGTTACCCTACCTAATCTCACTTTGAAGCACACTGTCAGGCACTATGGACTTCACATTAATGCAGCCCAGGAGGGGGATCGATCGTGGTTGGGAGGAGTGGGTATGCCCTGTGTAGCTCCAAAAAGGGTCTCATGACAGAGGGAGCTGTGTGAAGGAAGACTTTTGGAGGCCCCTAAGGGAACCAAAGACCTGTGGCAGGTGCATTGCAAGACCAGGCTGTAGGCAAAGGGCCTATTTGGGACAGCATTAGGCTGGGGCTTGCAGCCAGTTGCAATCCCAAGCTCAGGGTGTAGATTCTTGTAGTATTCTCTTGGAACCACTAGTGTCCCTAGGAGTCCTTGTCCAAGACTGACCGTGCATTCCTAAAGTTCCCAGATTAGGCCTATACCCTATGCCTTGGGTCACAGCTGGATATGATTTTCCAGACCGGCACCCTGGAGTGTAGGGGGAGGTCAGCTGGAGATCTTCACCGAGTCCCCACCAGCAGGGCTTAGACATCTCCAAGAGGGGTGCACAGTTCCCAGCTATATGCTGACATTAGCATTTTTCTGGAAGGGTGCCTATGGATCTTGTTGGCAGCAGGATGGGGCTTAGATGCCAAAGGGTCATGTTGGCATTCCAGATCCAGACAAACTGTCCTATGGGACTGCACTGGGTTGATGTGAGGTAGGACAGTGTGGGCCCAGGGCTGACCAGCTGGCCTGCCTTACCTCTCCTCTGTCCTCACAGACCTCAGGGGACATGCCTACCACCCCCAAGCACCCTAAGGACAGCCGAGAGAACTTCTTTCCTACAGTGGTAAGCACCACAACACCTGACCCTGTGCCAGCTGATGTGCTCCAGCAACCCAACGACATCCACACCAAACCTCGCCCTGCACTGGCTGCTGCCACAGCTGTCATCAGCTGCCCTGCCTCAGTATCAGCCTCTACTCCAGATTCAGCCAAGGACCCTGGGCCCCCCCAACCACACAGGCCCGAAGCCACCCCCAATGTGGCTTCTCTGGGCCCAGGTGAGTCCCATCCTGGTAAACTGGTGTATGGGGCCCCTACCATTAGTCAACAGCAGCTTCTGCTCCCTGAATAGAAAGCATGGGCAAAGGGGGAAGGCAAGGGTATCCTCCAGCCTGTGTGATCCCACAGGAGAGCAGGGATTGCTGGTCTGCTCGTCAGTGTATGGCAGCATCAGTGGTGCTAATCGGTACATCCTGCACATACCAATCTCAACCTAACCCTACATGCCATCTGTAAAGGGGTAGTGATAAGAGTAGGGGCAAGCACCATCATTTGATGTTTGCTGCCATAATGGTTTTCTCTCCACTCCCCCCAATAAAGCCTTTCAATAAATAAGAAAGATGGCTTGATCAGGTAGGAAGGGGAAGAACACAGACCAGGCCTTCCATGGGTATCAGGAGGGCTCCTGACTCTGACACACTGCAGGGCCACCAGTACTTGGCCTCCATTGTTCCCGCACTAGATCTGCTCAGGTGCCATCACACCCCCATGGACAAGACAGAAGGAAGCCATCCAGGATAAGAAATCCCCTGGAAAGGCAGCCTGTCTTTCAGGGCCACCTAACAGACTAGACAAGTCTGGGCCAGGAGCTTTTCTGGGAGAAAGGGTCATTGAGGCAGCACCACACAGGTCATAAGGAGGAAGGGACTAAGCAAAGCACTATCTCTTTCACTGGTGCAGGCATGCTTCTGGCTTAGTGGCTATGATTCTACCTGAACAGCCCCAGCCAGGCTCTGAAGACCCATAACAGGACAGGGATATTCCCTGACCAGTTAACCTCCCCAGCTGGTGGGTCCCTAGCCAAGACCAGTCTGGTGAGTTGCCTGTGTCCCCAGAGCACATTCAGGGATGGATGTGTCTCCTTGGCCCTGTATTTCAAGCTCCACCCCCATGCTTCTCCCAGCCTGTGCTCTTGCCTGAGACCCTGCACTGGTCTACAGCCAGGCTCCCACCTACCCACATCTGGAGCCATCCCTGAAGGCTTACCTGTCCATCCAGTAACAATCCAGCTATCTTCTCCTTGAGCATGAGGGATAGCCAGTGGAGAGACAGGGATGACTGCCTCAGGGACTGCAACTGTCAAGTCTCCTCTGTAACCACTGTCTTGGTTCTCTTGCATGAAACCTGGGACAGTGTCCTGGGTTAATGTGTTTTCAAGTTTGCTCCCCCAGGGCTCAGCACTCATTTAGCATGGACTCCCAATCTTATGCCATCACCCTGGCTTTGGCTTTAGTCCTGCACATTCTGTAGTCACTGGGAGCTTTTACAGGTAGCCCCCCACCCACCCATTACAGCCATATTGCCACATAACCCTGTTATGTCTGGAAATTTAGACCATGCTGGGAGCCAGCTCCTTCCTTCTGAGAACTTTCTCTGCTCTAGAGATGTGGGCTTGATGGTATTTACCTGTCCCAGCCTGGCCCTAACACCAACCCAGAAAGCTAGGGAGCAAGCTGGATACCTGGGCCATTAGAAGGACCCTCTGCCAGGCCTACGTGGGCACATATTCAAGATTTTCATTCTGACAAAAAGTCATTTAATCTAGTTTTGGGGAAGGAAGTAGAAAAGGATTGACTCTCCAGACTGAAGAATGTGCACTTGATAGTCTTCCTTAGATACAACAGTTAGAGAATAGGGTGTGAATTGCAGGTTTTCACCTACTTGAGGGTGGGGCAGGCAATGCCAAGAAGGAATGAAGGCAGCCGCTCTAGGGCTTCCTGGTTCCCTTCCCAAGGAACTCTTTCCTCACTGTACCAGGTTTGGTGTGTGGCCATCTGGCTTTTTCACAAACTATTGGATCATTGGTTCATCATGACATGGGGAATACTAGCTATCTATTGAAAGGCCCACAGGGGAGGAACTAAGATTTCCAGCCAGTATCCACTGAGGTCATCAAATGGCCAACCAACCCTGAGAGAACCCTAGTTTGTCTTGCCTGCTGTAGCTGTACACAACATCCCCAGGCCCCAGTAAGCTCACCCACCTGCCAGGCCAGACTGCCCAAACTGGCTCCATGCAGCAGATGTACCCCTCAAGTTTGGCCAGGGCTCAAGGTCCCTGTGTCTCTTAAGGGAGTCCCAGGCACTGCCTATCACTGTGCAGCTTCTTCCAGTGTGTCTATCTCCTTGTTTGCTGGATGTCCACCCACCCTAGGCCAGGTCCTAGTTTTGTGTAAAACGGACTCCCCAGAGGATCCTTTTCTCCAAAGCCATTGTGTCTTCTAGGGTGGGAAGAGTAAAGCAGAGTGGAAATGCAAGTAGTATTGAGGGTAGTGAGAGTGCTGGCCTCATGCAGGCCCTGAGAGGCCAAGGAAAGTCTGAGCCAGGCCCATGGTCTCCCAGAATATAAGCCTTGGAGACAGCTAGACCTGGTGCCAATCTGTGTATCTGTCCTGGTAAACAGGAGAAATGTCCTGATTGCATAGAATCTCTGCCTGAACACCTGCTCCCCAGACAAGAACCCAAGGCTGGGGAAGCTCCAGACAGCTCTTCTCTGCAGGCTGTTCCCTTAGTAGGTCCCACCCCTGGGTTGCCCAGATGGCTCTGGTGAGGGGAGGAGACCACCTGATCTAGGGAACACCTCACTGTGTGTCCAAGTCTCTGCTGGACTCCACACAGGGGTATACCTTCTCTTCTTGGTGGCACCCTGAAAAGGCAGGCCTGAGAAAGATGGATAATCAATGAGGCTGCTACTAGGGCTGAGAAGCAAAGCCATCTTGGGAGCAGCCTCCACCCATTCTGTGGGCCCCAGGCCTGTTCAGAGTGTGCTTGACCCACCTCATTGCAGCCAGTCTATAGATTTATATTACCAAGAAAGCCAGGCTTGCTGGGCATAGTGGTATATGCCTATAATCCCAGCCACTCGAGAGGGCTGGGCAGGAGAATCTAGTCCTGAGGCAGGAGACTCTTAGGCTAGCCTCAGCAATTTAGCAAAGCCCTAAGAAATTTAAGGAAGAGACTCGTCTCAAAATTAAAAATAAAAAGGGCTAGGGATATGGCTCAGTGATAAAGCACCTCTGAGTTCAATTCCCAACACCAAGAAAGAAGAAGAAGGAAAAAAAAAAGTTTCTAGCCTCCCTAACCTGAACAGCTCCCTACATACACACTACTGAGGGAATAGCTACAGAAGGGAAAAATCCGGCCAGAGCAAGGGCAGGCCATTAACCCTACAAAAGGGCATGACCTTAGATCCCAGGGCCAAGGGAAAATCAGCTTAGTTTAGTGGTGTGTGTCCTGTCTCCAATAGTTGGGGGTGATGACTAGGAATTACTAGAGTGGCCTTCTGAAGCCATTGTGTTGGGCTATCTATGAGTATGGATTGCCAGGTGGTGAGACCAAGAAAGGGAGTGGCTCCCCAGAGCCAGGCTTAAGATAAAGCCTCCTCACAGACCCTGCCCTTAAGCAGCTCAGTGGAGACCAGGGAAGCTTAATGGCCCTTAGGCCTCTGCCTGCAGCCTGGTCTATCTTTGTCTCAGGAGTTATCACACATGCCTGGCCAAGGAGGGGAGCCTGCTTCCCCTGATGGAAAAAGTGGCTGGCATTCCTAGTAAAAAGAGCCTAAAGGGCAGGCAATGGGACAGTATCAGCATGCTGAGAGATTCTAGCTCTGAGGAAGCAGGAAGAAGAGAATGACTTAGAAGACAGAGAAGAAACTAGAAACAGGGTCTGGGGAGGCCTGGGCATCTGCAGCACTGATGCTGAGTAATGGCCTGGCTGTCGGCCACAGGCACTGCAATAGCCCCTTGGGCCCATCTGGTCCTTGGCACAACTGAAGCCAATTCCTCATCCCTGCATTGTGCCAGGGAAGGAGTGGTCTGGCTCAGCATGAGGGCACAGTGCCAGTGTGTTCTCTGTCCTCTTTGGTCTTAGTTGGGTAGTTGTGATTCTAATCCTGACTTTAGTTCTCAGCGTCATTCCTGTGAGCCAGAGGAGAGAGAAGACCCCCATCCCATGATGTAACCATAGTGGTGTTTTACCCAGGTCCAGGGGCCATACAGCCTTCATTTTGGCCCCTAGTGTGTCTGATATACTTCCAGTCCAAGTAGGAAACAACTCCTAATGTCCACTTGGGGGCTGAGAGGTTTCCTGAAAGTACCAACCTAGATTGTCCCAGAAGAGTTCCTGAGGGTCCCCAGTCTGCTCCTGTGGAAATAAAGAGCTGCTTTAGCCCAAGCTCCCCACTTTGGACACATTTCTCTTCTGGGTGTCTGAGAGCACAGCCCAGGCTCACAGGGCCCACAAAAGAGGCTCTGCCCTGGGAGGTATTATGAGTATGTCACCTGCATCTGGCCTATGTCCCCACAGAGGGAGAAGAGCTGGCAGGAGTGGCAGAGAGCACTGGCTTCCCACTTCAGGAGCCACGACGCAGTCAACAGGTGAAGACGGCCCCCACAGGTCCCCCAGTAGAGCCACACTGCTGGCCAACAGAGGCTACCCCCCAGATAGGTGCTGAGCCCACCTGCAGCCAAGGTAAGGCCAGCTGGGAACAGCTGGGCATTGGTTCCCACAAGGCTGCTTCACAACTGGCAGCCAGGGAAGGCTTCTCTACAGAGGCACCAAGCCTGAGGGCAGGCCTGGGGAAGGTCAGTTGAGATGAAGTGGGAAAGAAAGGCAGGGGAGGGTAGGGGAACAAAGGAGGAACCTAAGCTGGAATCTGATATGGACCATTGTCAGGGCCCTAGAGCCTCTTTCATTCTGCCCCTGGCTTCACAGAGGAGTTCCAACAAGGACAGACATTTTGATTGGGCCTCTTAGCCATCAGCCCACTGCAAAGCCCAGACAGGACAAGAGAAGAATAGAAATGTATAGGGAAGAACTTGGCTTGATCACTGAGGCATCCCCACTGAGACAGCCTAATCCCAACCTCTGTCCTGCATGTTCCCACCAGCCACCCTACCCATTCAGGCCCCTCGGGAACTCCCCCTGCTGAGCCTCCCACAGACCACTCAGGACAGTAAGACCTGGCGCCAGCCTGCAGTGACCAGGCTTAGGCTTTGAGTAAGCCCCACTCCTTTTAAAGCCATGGGACTGCAGAGGAATGTGGAGCTCTGCCAGGCCTGCTGTGCTTCTCCCAGCTCACGCAACTCCCTGGAGGCTGCCAGGCTCTAGAGCTGCAGCCTGCAACTGCTGCGGCTTCTGGTATCCAGGAAAATACAACCCCTCACTCTCCCTGGAGTGTAAGGGAAAGTGGATGTACTAGGGCTGACTCAGTGACCACACCTGGCTATTGACTGTCTCTGGGCCTCAGTGTCTTCCCTGAGGTATGGACATCAATAGGTCTTGTGGCCTGGAATGGTTTGGGGGATCTAACAGTTCATGTAAGCTGTGATGTCTGAGAGGGCCATGGAATCCCTGGGAAGGCTTAGGGATGTTCCCATGTCCCAGGCCCTGAACTCTCAGAGTTCATGGTGCTTCCAGGTCAGGGTCACAGTCCCAGCACCCCATGGTCCAGAGCCAGAGTTGAGTCCCTATGGGTAAGAAGTAGTTGACCAGGTTGGAGGCCTGGGGGCCTGACAGCCAGAACAAGCATATTGGCATGCAAGCCCAGGACCAGTGGGCTGAGAGAAGGCACCCACTTTCTAATGCAACAAGGAAGAGAGATGCTCAGGGTATCTCTGTCTTCTAGAGGGGAAACCAAATCCTGAGCAGGGGAGGGACAGGCAGGCTCAGGAGGCTACAAGCAAAGTTCAGCTCCTGAGGTCTCACCCCACAGCTGCCAGCTCCGAGGTCCCCAGCAGTGGGAGTACTCAGCCACCTGAGGGCCATCCAGGCAAGGCCGAGCCCAGCCGGGCCAAGTCCCGCCTCCTACCCAACATGCCAAAGCTGGTGATCCCCTCGGCCACCACCAAGTTCCCTCCGGAGATCACCGTCACACCGCCCACCCCGACCCTGCTCTCCCCTAAAGGCAGCATCTCGGAGGAGACCAAGCAGAAGCTAAAGGTGACCACAAGTACTGGGCAGAGGGCATCAATTACAGGGAGCCTGGGGTGGGGGCTTGGGTTCTTGGGGGTCTTAGGGCAGGGGATTGGGCAAATGGGAGCCTGGGGCAAGGGCTCAGGTTACTGGGCGGGAGGGAGGAGCTGTGAAGAAGAGGGGCTTGGATAAAGTCAAGAAGCCTATAGTAGGCCAGGCATCCTTGACCAGTGTCCTGCCCTGTCTGCAGTCGGCCATCCTGTCTGCCCAGTCAGCTGCCAACGTGAGGAAGGAGAACCTGTGTCAGCCAGCTCTGGAGGTTCTGGAGACATCCAGCCAGGAGTCTTCACTAGAGAGTGAGACAGATGAGGATGATGACTACATGGACATCTGAGGAAGGCCTTCCAGAGCCCCACAGCCACACCCAAGGGGACAGAGTGGGCCTGGAATCCCCTTTGGCCCAGACCCTGAGCAAGGCCAGAAACCTAAGTGGGTATTATTTCCCATGCAGCCTCCACCGCCCACCAGCCCTGTCTTCCCAGCATCCTGCTGTTCACAGATTGGGCTGTCCACACCCACAGTGTGGGGGCCCAGAGGAAGAGGAGGAGGCCCAATTTAGCCCTGTAAGGATGGATTGGTGTATCTGCACAACAGGGCCAGCATCATTTTCTATGAAATGTTTGTAAACATGCTCATACCTAGCCCAGCAGGCTGTATCTACAACCTGACCCCAGGACAAAGTGGGTTCTGCCTAGATCCCAGTGGAGGCATCACCTGGGCCAGGCTTGCCTCACACCTTTTTTTTTTTTTTTTTTTTGCGGGAGGGGGGGGTGTTCTTTTTTAATAAAGATGGAACAATGGTCTTCACTGCTTTGTTCTCCCAGTGGGGCTGGAGGTGGGGAGGCCCCAGACTTCGGGAGGTTGATGTCCCTGGTTTCTGACCTGATTTCCTTCTCTTAGGCTCAGCTCTTGGGCACCACAAGAGTCTGGAGAATGTAGAGTGTCATAGAATGCTGCAGACTCCTCTAGGCAAGGCTGGCACTGGGCCTAAAGGGTCATTTGGGAAGTCCCCAGAGTTCACTGGATGCCAGAGGGACTGGCAGTGAAACACCATGCAGAGGGAGGTATCATACTTCCCACCCCAACAGGACCTGCCACATAAGTTGTGGAGCCCAGCACAAGATAGATATGTGAACCTCTTGTACAAAAATTACTAAGAATCTTAATGTGACAACAGCCTTAAACAAGCCCCTAATGCTGACCCTGCCCTCACAGGCTCCAAGCCTGTCTATTTTGAGGATGCACGGTTTCCAAATGCTCACACTTGCCCTTTACGACTGTCATTCCCTCTCTGCTCTTCAGAGACCCATCTGTCCCTAAACTTTGGGCCAGGTTGGAGATGGGGCACCTCCTTACTGCTAGCTAGGTGCCCCTGCCCAGGAGAAAAGGCACCAGGAACAGGGCACTATCCTGGATCCCCAGCCTAGGCCATTTGGAACTAGAGATATGCCAGCCCAGGGGGATCCTGGCTGGACCTGCCATCTTGGGACATGAGAACTGGTCCAGCAGTTCCTCAGGCCAGCCCTTGCCCATGTGAATGAAAGCACCCACAGCCCTGGTCCAGGCTGGGGTATAAGCTGCTTCCTGGCACAGGACATCAGTGTCCAGATGCAGGGCACCCCTTAGGGAAGTACCCTTAGTGTTCAGCAACCCTGTGCATTAAGGGACTTTCTCCCTTCTGGGAGGTAAGGGTCTCACAGACTTCTTATCAAATGTCTCTGTGCTGCACAAATATTATAGAATGGAGGCAGGGGTTCCCAAGGAGCAACTCTGCCCTTTTCCAACTCCCCCAACCATAAGCTTCCTCTGACAGTTTCAGTAGTTGCTGAAAGCTCAGTCCTTGTCCTCAGTGCCAATCCAATAACGAAGACACAGAAAAAGAAAAAAGGTTTATTGCTTTGCTAGCAAAGGAGAAACATAGGGGAACTCTGTCCCAGAAGCTGTGATTCTGCCTATCAGCAGGAATTGGGGGATTTTAAGAGGTGATTCAAAGGCTACATTCCACGTGTACACTGTTGAAGTTGTAATTCACTTGTTCATTTGGACATAGTCATTTCTGAGAGCTGGTACTATCTCCAAAGTCTGGATTACTTTGTTCTTATGGTGAGTGTGTGCTCAAGAACAGATAAATCTGCCTAAAATGTGAAAGAAAGGTAATCTGTTTCCCCTGAGATTAGGGAGGAGCCTAAAAAAGAAAAGAAACTTCCATTTAAAAGATAAGTTGCAGGCTCAGAGGTAGAATGCTTGCCTAGCCTGTGTGAGGCATTGGGTTCAATCCTCAGCACCACATTAAAAAAAAAAAAAAAAAAGATATTGTGTCCAGCTGAAAAATATTTTTTTAAGAGGGAAGGAATTTTTCAGTTTTCGGTGGACACAATATCTTTTATTTTTATGTGGTACTGAGGATCGAACCCAGCGCCCTGCGCATGCCAGGCGAGCGTGTTACCGCTTGAGCCACATCCCCAGCCCTGAAAAATATTTTTAAATAACTAGCAGTGGCAGAGCAGCAAGGGCTATATTCAAAGTATAAAATGGACCACTGTTATAATAGGAGCCAGTCTCTCTGTTTGGATCTGGACCCAAGGGAGGAGCAGGTGGGTGACCACTAACATTGAGTAGTTTAGGGCAGACCTAGGTGAGACATGGGAGAATAATGAACTGATGGGGCCTCAGGCCGAGGCAGGTCACATCCCAGATGGCCTCAACTCGGTGCTGTGCAAGACTAGCTGCAAAGTTAATAAACACCCTCTTAGGACACCTTGAGAAGCTGCAGCTAGGGTAGGGGAGGACCACCTACCTGTCCTAACATTCAGCCCAGGTGGCAAATCCTGAGTGAGAAGTCCTAGGCCTGGAACTTAGCTCTCCCTGATTGCATGGGCTCCCAAAAGCCACCTGGGGCCTGATTTGTCCCCTGCTGTCTCCATCTTGCTTCCTCATCTGCCCAAAGATTAAAGAGATTATGCAAACTCTGATGAATGACAGCACAAGGGTGGGTGTAGTTGGGCAGGCTGTGCATCTGTGGGCTCCCTTGTCCAGGTTGGAGGATCACTTTTTTGTGAATGGGCCTGTCTCAGTCTCAGGGAACTCCCCTCCTTTACCCTTTCTCCCTCCAACAGGAATCCTCCCAGAGCTGTCTAGCCAAGGATCAACCTGAGACTGACCTGACAGCTCCTTCCCACACACCAAACACATGCCCACCAGGGGCAAGCCCTGGCTAGAATCTGTTTGCTTGTTCACCCCATCAAACTTTGAGGAGGAATTAGCAACACCTCCATGCAGGAAACTAAGAATTAAGGATGTGAAATCTGACCAGAAGGCACAGGGGCTGGAATCCTGCCAATCTCAAGCACAGACCAGATTCACCCATCCTGCAGCAGGCTGTGCATCTGTGGGCTCCCCGGCCCAGGTTGGAGGATCACTTGAGCTTGTGAGTGGGCCTGTCTCAATCTCAGGGAACTCCCCTCCCCTCCCCTTCCTCCCTCCAACAGGAATCCTCCCAGAGCTGCCTCTGGCCAAGGATCAACCTGGGACTGACCTGACAGCTCCTGCCCGCACACCAAACACCCGTTCAGGAACCCCACCCTTCAGCCCCTCTATGTAGGACTGGGCTGGGACCCAGGATCCAAGCTGCAACCTCTGAACATCCGGCTCATCACGTGCCAAAGATTCTGCAGCTGGAGGCTCCAGCCCCATATCCCTCCCACAACGTCCCAGGGCTGGGTTTCTTCCCTCTCCCATGTCCTTTGCTTGGGCCAGGAATGTGCTAACGGGGCAGGTTGGGCTCTGCTGTTCTACTCAGGCACCTGTGGACTTTGAGAGGGGAATAAGTGGGGTGGGAAGGGAGACGGGTGGGGTGGGGAAGGGAGGGGCGGTGCCTCAAAGCTCAGGGCAGGCAGGCGGGGCCAGGCCAGCAAGGAGTAAGAGCCTCCTGCCGCCTCTGAGCTACTGCACTGCTGCTGCTGCTGCTGCTGCTACTGACTACAGACCCAGACCTCACCATGAAGCTTGCCCTCCTGCCCTGGGTCCTGCTGCTGCTGGCGACAGTCCCCGGCTCCGGGCCCAGGCCCACAGCAGGTATGTTCCCACCCGCTTCTGTCCCCTTGTCTATCAGTCCATCTGCCTAATCAGCCAGGCTTGGGGTAGATTATGCAATCTCTCCACTGGATTATCTGTGCTAAGGTTGACCCCAGCCCCATGGAACTTATGGCTTTCCATTTTGTCCACATGCTGAGGGAGAGCAGTTCCAAGCCCCACTGGGCTTGGCCTCTGTCCATCTGTCAGGGCCTCTGTGACTGTGCTGGGAGTAGTGGGAAGAAATTCTGAAGCTCCAGGGTTGAGGGATGGGAAGGAAGTCTGGACTGAGCCTGCCTTATGCTTCTGGGAGACGGGAAGCCATGGCTGCCTAGAAGAGAGGTAGGGGAGAGCAGCGGAGCCTTTGGTCTGCACCCCAAATCCCAGTGAAGAGTGTGGTTGCATATGGAGAGCCCCCAATTTCCCTCCCAGCTCTAGGCAGGCTTGTTAGTCCTCATCAGGGTTAGACTGAACCCAAGAAAATCTAGCAGAAGGCCTGAACTCCAGAGTTGGGACCCTGGCCTCAGGCTCAGAGAGGCATCACCCACCCACAGCCCTCCACCCCACCCTGTCTTCCATCTTGCAGGGAAGTATCACAACCCTTCTGCCACTTTTATCGTACTTATTGGCATATAGAAGCCTCTTCCCCACACCACTTGAGACAATAAATATTTATTGCCACTCTTGAATGCCAGGCACTGCACTTAAGTAGGGACATTCTGGTGGCTCAAACCCAGGCCCAGCCCTTGACTGGCCTCATTTGGTTGTGGGGGATGGTGTAGGGCCAAGTGAGATATGTGATTCTAACTTGAGTACTTCCACCCCACCCCAGTCTTTGCCCTACCTCAGGTCCCCATTATCCATAGGAGAAGTCTTAGGCGTGACCTCCACAGCTCCCCATGGCACACCCCTGACTACCTTTTCCCTATTCCTTGGCTCCCTATTAGAAATGTCCCTCCTCTTCCCCCAGAGGAAGGAAACACCCCTGACCTTCTTCCCTGAAGTTGGGGCTCTCTTTGGAGTTCTATTGTTGCCCCCTGGGAAAGTAAAATGGATCAAGCTCAGCCCAGGCACCAGTCCCTCCTAGATCTTTAACGTGGCTATGTGACCAGACCCCAGCCTTGGTGAGCAAGAAGTGTCCTTCTCCAGACTATGGAGTCCCAAGATAGCACACTGTCCACAGACCCATCTGAGAGCCAAAAGAGGTCCCCAGGCCCAGGTCAAGGACGCAGGCAACTGTGGCCTTCCCAGAACGCCTGCCCTGTGAGCTATAAGGCCTTAGTGTCTGAAAGCTAGTAGATCCCTGAGAGTTATTTCTGACCCTATAAGGTTGAATGTCTGAGGCATTTTTCTTCATTTTACTATTTTCTAGTCACTCCACTGGATTATCTGTGCTAAGGTTGACCCCAGCCCCAAGGAACTCATGGCTTTCCATTTTGTCCACATGCTGACCAGGGAGGGCAGTTCCAACCAGCAATCCTCCCTGGGAATGCTTCCCTTAATTGACTCTGGGGAAAATTAGAGGCAGGCCCTGTGCTTAGAGCAGCAAGCCTAGCATGTACCTTAGCCAGATGCTCAGGATTTTCTTTTCCAGGTGCCCAGGATAGCTGTTCCTTGCGCTGTGGGGACCGGAATGGGCCCTGCTCCTGCCACCCAACCTGCTCAGGCCTTGGCACCTGCTGCTTGGACTTCCA